GCATCTTGGGGCTCGTTAATTGGCTTGATAGTAGCACCTGCCACAGTTATCTGCCCATTTGCACTTTCATGTATTTTGAAAGTAGAATTCTTGTTAAATGGATCCAGTAGATCAATAATGTCTTCGTTATACAATTCTATAAACTGAACAGCCACGCTGAACTGCGAATTTGTGGCGGAGGCATCACTGTCTTCTGGATGCTGCAACTTTTCGATTCCAGCAAATATATGTCGTATCGCACGGGGTATTATGCCCAGTTGATAGTCCCCAGAAGTGTGATCAAATCCAGTTCCCATTGTATAGGTTTTGCCAGAGCCGGTTTGACCGTACGCAAGGACCGTCGCATTATAGCCATGTAAAGTTCCTTCAACCAAGCGCTTAACGCATTCTTCATATATATCACTCTACGAATTGGTAAAACGGATGTATAAAAAATATTTATATACCTTTATATGGTGATGGCAGCTTACCTGATTAGAGTCCACATTATAAACATAGTCAAAAGTAAACGCCTTATCAGATCCTAGAACGATTTGCTGCTCACCAGGTGTTACTGTGGTACATATCCGACACATGTCAATTATCTCTCTTGAATTTTGTGGACGAATTCTGTAAAAATAGAAAAACAATTAGTCTATCCATGGTCTAGTTTTCAATATATCGTCAGGATTTTAATATATAAATAAAGTTCAACTTACCGTACAGCCACTCGAACTAAGCAATCCTTGTCAATTTCTCCATCCGTAGCCATGTTCAATTAATAAGCTTCAAAACAAATAATATTGCTGAAACATATTAAATATTTAAATTTATATCAAACGTTACAGTCGTAAGTTACCAATTACTGCAGAAACTTCTGCTTGTCGATGAAATATGAGGAAAATTATGAGAGAGAAATCTAGCAATGGTAATGGTACTGGTCTTCGGCCCTTTTCGAAGAAGCCAACAGGTGTAAAACCAGTAAAACTACTTTATCAAATGCACTTCAACCAGCTGTCAGCAGCATAAGCGTCAAAAATATATGTAATAGGCGCCTATAAATAAAGTCCTAGCGCTGTAAAAACGATACTTTATTGCTATGGTGAGTTGAGAAAAACCAGCTATGTGCTTGAATGTGTGCTGACATCAGCGCAAAATTAATAGTTCGCCGATATGACAAGCATTTCGATGGCACTGCTATCCACTTGGCGGAAGCTGATTTTTAGAATCTGTAAAAAACTCCTAAAGAGTGGTGTCAACCATGATCACATCCAATCTTCCCACTTAAAAGATAACTCACATATCGACGGAATGTGTTACTATACTCAGAAATGATCTGGTCAATTGTTGTACATGGAGATTCGCCACTTTTATGATTTTGTTTTTCATAAAGCTTCAGGAAGGTTAACATAAAAAGAATTATATCTCTTTCTGTGCATCTAATTAGGAATAATAAACTAGCGAGAAAGAATTCCTAATTTTAGTTTCTAAGCTATTCATCCTAATAAATTAATTATTAAATAGATACCAGCACAAAGTGTACATACATATGTATACAAATAATTAGAAATAAAATGATCGTCTTCAGCATTCCAGCATCCGGAGCATCAATTTCGCTGTGCGTTGTAATAAATAATTACTATAATTACCTTAATTAGTCGACTTTTAAAAATACAACTTATAGTTAACTTCAGCAAATTACTAACTCTGCAGCTTGTATTTTTAACTGTCAAAAACAAAAACAATAAAAGAAGACGATCAGGGTATGACATAAAATTATTGGCATGCATATACATACATATATATTTAAAAAGTTTAACTACGCACACATAAAAATAAATAATATATTAGTATATACATATGTGTAGACACTCACATATGATACTTACAATTAAATATAAAAAACCTGTTTTAAAATTTTTTGACACCTGATGTTTACAAATGGCTTCTTAGCTTTAATATCAATCGTAAGAATATGAATCTCGTAATGAAATGTATCGTACCAATAAAATAAATATTTGCATTCGCTGCTTCAAAATTCACAAAGATATTAAAATCTTTTTTTCAGATCAACGTCCCTTGTTTACTTTCTTACATACGCTTAAATATACATAGAAATACTCCACAGCTGTGAACAGCTGATGACATTTGGGATGAACGATATTTCGATATTCGTCAGAGATTGTTATGGTACCTCCAACAAACGTATGTATATCTATTTTAAACATATATGCAAAAGCTTATCGGAAAAAACAAAACAGTTTTACAACTTCTATAAAACAAAATCATTTATTGCGATTCAATCTTTTGGATTTTGCGTGTACATGATGCACACGAGTAATAAATATATTTCCATGTCATCTATACACTCAAATCCCGAGTATATTCTACGAAGAATTTTACAATGAATACCTTTGTGAATATATATGTATATAAATA